CCTAAGGCTGGAGGTGTTGCTGCTTGGAAGCTTCCCGGCGTGGTTTTGGCTGCGGGATGCTCCGGAGCAGCCGCGGTTGCGCTCGGGTTGGCGACTGCCGTGCCAGGGCTGGCTGGAGGAGAGCTGCAGGGATCCCAGCTGGTTATTGGGAGTGATTTATGGGAATTTGGGGAACACCGCGGGCTTTGCAACCAACCGCAGGTGCAAAGGAGGGGAGTTCGCCCGTGCTTCCCAGCCTTCGGCCACCGCAGGACCTGGGGTTGGGGTTATTTCTCCTGGTGCTGGCCCTTGGTTTCGTTGCAAGGAAGCCACGGTTGTCTCTGCACCCACCACGGGCACCCTGGGTCGAGAAGCGCTTGACGGAGCAGCTTTGGTCACCCACGCGGAAGGCAGCAGCACCCACCCCTTTGCCAGCCCCGTGGTGATTCTTCCTCAGGTCTTTCCTTGCCACTTGTCCCCTCTCGGGGTGGCCTCGGGCGCGTCACTCGGTTGCTTTCCCCATTGTGACCCCCCACGGGCAAAGGCGGTGCCTGTTGGGCGCCTGGCACAGCAGGGACGGGTGATAACCCGTGAGGTCGAGACGTCCTCCATGCAGCGATGCAGGTGACAAGCAGGGACGTGCAGAGGGGACCAAACAACATCCCCCTGCCCCCGGAGGAGGGCTCAGAGCTGGCACGCTGGAGCCTGGGAAGCTGCAGTGGGAAGTCTGGCAGCAGGATTCATTAACTGCGGATAACTAACAGAGGAAAGGTGCCTTTGGCGCCTGGAAGAGGCTCAGCTCCTCCATTACGGCACCCAGTGGCCCTCCCAGAGCCTCCCCAGGCACGGTGGGTCCCCCCAGTCCCCACTCTGGACATGGCTGCGGGTGGCCCCGAGCCCAGCGGGGGCTGGAGCCCTTCGCGTGTGCACGTCTGCTTTCACCCTCTCCTTACTCCTGCGAGTTTAATTCAAACCAAATGGCTTCGCTCGGTTTCTCCTCCGTGGAAACGAGGGGGTGAGCTGCCAGGCCAGTCCCGCGCCAGCCCACGGCATCACGCCAGCCGAAGCCCCACCACAGCTTTAAAGAACAATGGAGATTTTTTTCATTATTATTTAAAAAAATAGATAATAATAATAAAATCTCATTATTTGTGTGGGTTTGGCTTTGAGTCCCCCCACCCCAGGCTGCATTGGAGACCCAGCGTTGATGCAAGGCAGAGGGAGAAGATGATGTTCCCCTGCCTGGGTCAGCCTTTTTGGGGTGTACCAAGGTGTGCAGCGGGGTGCTGGGGTCCGGGATTGGGCTTTACTGGGTGCTACTGGGCTCACTGGGCAGGGGGTCACTGGAGCAGTGCTAGGGCTGCTGAGAGCAAGAGGTTCCCCCCAAATTTCCAGGTTCCCTCTCCAAATCCCATCTTGGTGCTCTGGGAGCTGAGGTGAAGGGGTTTGGGGTAGGTGCCTGAGTGACGAGGAACTTTCTGCCACTGGGGATGCAGAGGCAGGGGGTGAAGGATGCTCCTTGAGCCAGGGTGGGTTTCTTCCCTCGGGAAGAGCCCTGGCAGCCCCAGAGATGCGGGATGTGGTGCTTGGAGGACGACAGCAAACCGCACCCAGAGCCGTGGAGACCTGCCGAGCCAGCCTGATGGTCTTCATTATAGAGCCACGGGCTGAGCTCAGGTCCAAGATCAGCGGCCAGAAAGGAAACCTGACTGTTAAAATTAAAATTGAAACCTCAGTGGGGGAAGAAGCAGGTTTTAAGGTCTGGTTTTAGGAAAGGGAAGCGGACGCCGTTAGCAGCCAGTCCTCTGACCACAGGCAAACACGAGCCAGGCAAAGCCACGAGGCAAAGCTTCGTAGTGTTGTGACCCACCTGGCAAAGCCCAGAGCCACCTTGAAGCCCAGAGCTGCTGAGAGCCTTTGCTGTCCTGCCTGAGCGAGGTGTCTCCTTCTCCAGCCCTTCAGCAGCCGACCTCCTTGTCCAACTCTGGAGAAAACAGAGGGGCCAAGGAGGGGCTGATGGGAGGAAGCTTTTGGGGTATGAGGTTGGGCTTCCACCTCCAGGCACCAAGGAACAGGGGGATGTCCAAGTGCTCCTTGGGAGGAGATGGGGTCGTACCTCTCAGGAGGGTCCCCACCTCCATGGGGTGGTTTCTCATGTCTCACTCTTCTCCATCCTTCGCAGTGTCCAGGCCGCAGACTTCCCCCGAGGACCTGAAGGCGCTGATGGGGAATGTCAATCGCCTCAACGAGAGCTTTCGGGACATGCAGCTGAAGCTGCTGCACCTACCTCTGAAGGGGGACGTGCTGGATCACATCTGGAGGCTCCAGGACCTCCTGCAGAACCACTCAGACTCCTTGTTCCTCATGACGGGCTCACTGCAGAAGCTGGAAGGGCTCCTCTGGAGCCTGCAGACCCAGGCCAGCCAAACTGACAAGGCAGTGTCCAACCTCTGGGACAGCTTGACCCAGCAGAGCGACGCGGCTCAGCAGGAGATGTACAAGCTCTCCGTGGAAGGCAACAGCAGCCGGCTGCTGCTGCAGCACCACGACCATCTCCTGAGCCACCTGGGCAGCAGGGTGGAGAGCCTGAGCGACCAGGTGACAACCGTGAGCGGGGCCGTGGATGCCATGAACAGGACCTTCTCCTACGACGTGAACATCCACCATACCCGCATCCAGGACCTGCAGGTGCTGATCAGCAACGCCACCGAAGATGCCCGGCAGATGCGCCTCATCCACATCGCCATGGAGGAGCAGCTGAAGCACGAGCTGGCCATCCTCAACAACGTGACGGAGGACCTGCGGCTGAAGGACTGGGAGCACTCCATCGCGCTGAAGAACATCTCTGTGATACGGGGTAAGCTGAAAACCCCTTGCAAGCCGCTCCCTCGCTGGTGCATGAAGCTGTCGTGGGGAGGTGGGTGTCCTCGGTGCTTTGGCAGGGGGTGGAAATGGTCCCTGTGGCATGGGGATGGTGTCTCGAGGTGTATCACATCCATCAGACACCATTGTTGAGGTGTGGGCAGTGTTGAAGAGTTTCCATCAGCTTGGACTCCGTGTAGTTGGGACCCTCCAAACGCTTCCCCCCGTCCGTGTTAGGAAGAAAGCTCCCAAAGTTCCCTCGATGACGCTAGGGCGTACTCTGCCAAGTCCCTCCTGACCATGAAAGTGAGCTGGACCAAGGGTGGCAGAGACACTTGGTGGGCTTTTGTCCTGCTTCGTGCTGTGGTAGTCAAGCAGAGGGATGCCCACCAGTAGCCTCAGTCATCAACCAGTGTCACTTGCTTTACTGTGCATCTCCTTTACTCCATTTCCCCCCTCTCATCTTCTCCTCCACTCCCAGCCCCTTCCAAATCGTAGAATCACAGAATGGTTTGCATGGGGATGTTTCCTCCAGAACAAGGACTGTGCATCCCCAGGGGCTTGGTAGCCCCCAAAATCTGGGGCTACCCCACTGCCACGTGCCAGATGGACTGTGCTGCACCCATCACCCATGAGGGCAGAGCTGGGATCTACGTTGGCACAAGGGCAAACGCAGAGGCTCATAGAATCGTAGCACGGGTTGGGTTGGGAGGGACCTTAAGGACCACCCAGTCCCAACCTCCTGCCATGCCAGGGCCACCTTCCACCAGAAGCAGGTTGCTCCAAGCCCCATCCAACCTGGCCTTGGACGTTTCCAGGGATGGGGCATCTCCTACCTCTCTGGGCAACCAGCTCCAGTGTTTCACCACCCTCCTCATGGTAAAATAAACAACTCATCCCTCCTGACTCTTGACCATTGATCCTAGTTTTCCTGATACGCTTATTGTTTTTGTGTGTGTGTATGGTTACCTCACCAATCCTCCCCTCAGTCTGCTAAGCATCTACTCCCTTTTTCTGAATTATCTGAAAGGTCCAGGCATTTGTCACACCATTATCTCATGAATGGAGCTGTATGACCAGGGTTAACCATCTGCTTGGACATTTCTTTCTCTCTGATGTCAGGAATTTCCAGCTGTTTCATATCTTGCTGTCTTGCTGCCGTAGGGTCACCCACTTCTCTCCCTCCCACAGCACTAGATCTCCTAGGAGAGCCCAGCTCCAGGAGGAGCAGCTCAAGTGGAGATGCCTGCACTGGAGAAACCCATGTCTGCTGTGGTGGATCCCAGTTGCTTGATGTGACTGGGGAGCAGCAAGAGAAGGGTCCCTCTGAGCTGCATCAAGGGAGAAGTGGCTTTTGCTTCGAAGATCTCAGAAGCTCAATAGGAAAGGGGGTGAAGGGAGCTGCGCTCTTGGGAGCAGCTTGGCTTCATGGGATGATGGGGAAGGGAAAGGGTCAGGCTCTTCAGGAACAGGGCTGTGATGGGAGCCAGCAAAGTCATGAGCATCTTCGTGATTTATGGCACAAGAGCAAGGGAGCAACAGACGAAATGGCGGGCAGCAAGCCCAGGAGAGGCTCAGCCCTTTCCCACATGCCACCTTTTCACCCCGCTGGAGCATCTTGCTGCAGGACTTTGCGGAAGCAGAAACCCAAGGAGGTCCGAAAGGAGCTGGGCAAGTTCAATCGGGACACATCCATGGCTGTTCAACGCCATGACCTGGTCAGAGTCCCAGTGAACGAATTGGCCATGGGAGCGGGGGTGGAAACCATGAAGAAACGCAGAGGAGCCCGGTGCAAGCTCTCGGGAGCAGAGGAAGAGGTTGGCGGGCAGTTGCTGTCCCACTTCTAGGCTGTTGGTTTGCACCTGCAGGGGCTTAATGGGCTCTTGCTCATTTCTGGTTCTTCCAGCTGAAATACCAGGTGGGGTAGGAAGGGGCTGGCACCAGGGCGCTTGCTCCCTCTGGCCATCTGCTGAGCCAAGAGGGGACAGGCGTGGCTTGAACCGCAGCAGCTACATCTCGCCACCCAGGCCAACCATCACCTTTGGGTACCAGCAGCTCATTGGGGTCATCCCCCCGGTCCTTGGGGGATGTTGGCTCCCGATGCCTGTTTCAGGGCTGCTGGTACCACGCTGCACCCACTGTTTTGGGGTTTTCATAGCTGCCCACTCACCCCCAGTGCTCTTGTTTCCCTCCCTCTACCTTGGGGAAGATGTCACCCTCTCTTGAGTGAAGCCACCAAGGAAGGAGCCTGACACCCGTGCGCCATGTTACTCCAATTAACACAAGCAGAAAGCAAAGGAAAACAAACCCCCTCCCAGCGGGCCAGCACCTCATTTATCAGCCTGACACATTTCTGGCATCCCCAGCTTCCCTCTCTCCCCATCCCTCCTCCTTCCCTCCTTTCTGTCGGCAGCAATGGGTCATGGATAATTTTAGGAGCCTTGTGCCCAGCTGGCTTCACCCCAGCTCCAGATGTCCTTGGATGAATCCGTCACGCTCCCAGCTGGATTTGCACCAGCAGAACCAGTCCTGGGTGATGCAGGGCTGCCTGCTTGGGGGTGCATTTTCCTTCCCCCCAGACCTTCGCTACCGCAAGCTCTGGCTTTTGAGGCTGTTTGCTGGTGATGGCAGCTTGGGGAGGTCCCCAGGCTCGTCTCCAGCAGCCAACCACACCAAGCAGCTCGCGTGTCTCAGAGAGGGCTTGGCCTCTCAGCACAGAGGGGCTCCGGATCTTAAATAACGGTGTCACCGGGAGGGAGGATGCCCAGGATCCACCGCCCGCCTGGATCCGCTTGGACGGCTCGGTGGGTGGGATGTGCTGGCTCGCAGCAGGTCTGGCGAGGTGATTGCAACGGTCCCATCTGGTTGTCAGATCTGTGCCTGTCATGAAAGTCCTCATCCCGATGATTTTGGAGGGTTTTTTTTTTCTCCTCCGCTGATGCAGCGGGCAGCCCAGCCCTGTGCAGTTCAGGAGGGTGTAGCAGGGGTGCATCTGGGCTGGGGTTTTCTTTCCTGAGTGGGAACCTCAAACGCTGTAGGGTGGAGACCAGCTTGGCCCGGTGCCTGCGGTGCTGCTCAGCCTCTCCCAGTCACCCTTCCATCCTCCACCCCAGCTGCTCCCCATGTCCCATCCCACAAGCTGTCCCTGGGGATGGGACCACCTCTGCTCATGGAAGCTGCCTGGATGTAGCCAAGAGAAGATATTCTAGCAGCTGATGGACCACAGGACTCACTACGGTGGGAACAGCTCTGCAGGATGAATGTCAAAACCCAGGAGCCAGCAAACAGGATCAGCCAGACAAGCTGCCCATCCCCAAGCTCCGTTTCTAATCCCAGGCACTAGGGAAAGGGAATAAAGGACAACATGTCTCTTCCCTGGCTGTGTTCTCCCAGCCTCCAGCTCTTAGAGAGCAGATGAGATCGCCTGTTGCCCATGGTCATCCTCCTAGAATTTCAGTTTTCTTCTTCACCTCTCCATGCCCTAGACCTCCCCGATGTCCTGTGGGACAGTTTTCTGAGATGGTAGAAGAGATGGGATGGGATGGGATGGGATGGGAT